CCTAAACCCTAAACCCAAAACTTAAACCCTAAACCCTAATCTACCTCCCGAGGCCCCTACAGTAGACTCAATAGACGCGCGCATCCCTAAACCCTAAACCCTAAAGCCTTGACCCTTAAACCCTAAACCCTAAACCCTTAAACCCTAAACCCTAAACCGTGCATCCCAAGGCCGGCATTGTCCATTGGGATGTGAAGCCGGCGAACATCTTGATCTCCAAGGAACCAGAGCAGGGCTGGGGCTCTTGGTTTATGGGGCTTAGGGTTTAGATTTTAGGGTTTAGGGTTTAGGGTTTAGATTTTAGGGTTTAGGGTTTAGATTTTAGGGTTTAGGGTTTAGGGTTATAGGGTTTAGGATGATTTATAGTAAACCCCAAAAAGGGGGAAGCGGAATTAGGGGCAAATATTGCTGGGATGCCCTATACTATTCGTCTTAAGGATTGAGGCTAATGGGCTTCCCACTTTTGGGCTTCTACTGTAGGGTCAGGACTCAGGCTTCGGGCCAGGGATCCCCGGAATATATATATATATAGGGTTTAGGGTTTAAGGTATATAGGGCGTTTAGTGTATAGGAGCTATATGGCCTTGTAGTTTGAGCGTTCAGGGTTCAACGAAATACCTGCCTTCATGGCAGCTTCACTCGGATCCAAGCAAACAAAGTAACCAGCAAATCCTAGAGTACACTTCTAGAAACCTTTGTAGAAACCCTTCTCGCACCCTTAAACAACCTTTAGCCCTCTTAACGAAACCCAGCGAAAATGTCTGTAGGGGATCCTATAAACCTTATGCCTAAACCCGACAGGGTTTAGGGTTTAGAGCCAGAAAGTTGGAACATCATTATCCTGGTACCCTTTAGGTAAAATACAAGGGATCCTGGCACCAATCATCCTAAACCCTGTAACACAAACCGCAACCCTTCTGTAGTACCCTTGCAGTAGCCTTCTCGGCAATTGTTAGAAGCCCTATATTACCCCGAAGGAAGCCCCTCACTATGGTACCCTGATAGTAGCGTTATAATAAAAGGAACCTTCAGTTCTGTAATTACCTTCATGGTTCCCCTATGAACCTTGGTTTCTAAAGGAAAGCACAGCCAGAGGAGCCCCCTCTAGCGTGTAGAAACCCTTGCAGGACCCATATAGTAGGTCAGCGCACTTTATTTTCACTGGTGACCTGGGCTGCGTTGAAGTTTACTTCACGTGGCAGGCGTGGTGCTGTTGATTGTGTGCTATGTTCCGGGCCTTAAAACTAATCGAAAGAAACAGACTTCACGTATTGACGAAAGTGTTCGAGACATTACCCCCGCAATCCCGAAATCAAGAGAACAAGCCTCAGACAAGAGCACATCTGGGACCAACGCTAAGGCCTGTTTCGCACATCTGGGGACAATGCTAAGGCCTGTTTCACCAGGGCCCAGGGCTGTGGGCTGGCTTTAGGGTTTAGGATTTAGGGCTCAGGTCCAAGGGCTGGCTTTAGGGTTTAGGATTTAGAGTACAGGCTGTGGGCTGGCTTTAAGCTTAACAGTCAAGATTATAAAACTATGCTGTGTGTAATGATAAAATGCTTGATTCCTTAATGTGTTGGGATTCTCTGGGTGTGTATTTTTCCATATTCTAACTAGCGAATGAAACCCTAAACCCCAAAGCCCCTAAACCTTAAATCCTAAACCCTAAAACCCTGAAACCCCGAATCTGAAACCGGAGGAGACCGGACCCCTAAACCCCAAACCCCAAACCCTAAAACCTAAAACCTAAAACAAACCCTAAGCCCTAAAGCGTAAAACCCAAAACAACCCCTAAACTCCCCGAAAGCGGAGGAGACTGGCCCCCTAAACCCTAAAAGCCCTAAACCCCTAAACCCTAAACCCCCAAAACCCAAAACAAGCCTTAAACCCCTGATTCCGGTTTAGGGTTTAGGGGTTTAGGATTTAGGGTTTAGGGTCTAGGGTTTAGGGTTTAGGGTTCAGCCCTAAACTAAACCCTATAAACCCTAAACCCCTACCCCTAAACCCTAAACCCCAAACCCTTTAAACCCTAAACCCTTTAAACCCTAAACCCCAAACCCTAAACCCCAAACCCTTTAAACCCTAAACCCTATAAACCGGAGGAGACTGGCACGCTGAAGATCTTCGACTTCGGCCTCGCGAAGCTGCGCTCCGATGGCCTTTGCCAGATCCTGGGGCGGAAGGGGCTTGCGGGTCTTTGAATGTACAGGGTTTAGGTTTTTAAGGGTTTAGAATTTAGGATTTGAAGGGTTTGGTGTTTAGGAATTAGATTTTGGGGGTCTAGAACTTAGGGCTTAAAGGGTTTAGGGCTCGTAGGGTTTAGGATTTAAGGGTTTCGGGTCTAGGATTTAGGATTTAAAGGGCTTAGGGTTTAGGATTAGGGTTTAGGGGTTTAGGGTTTAGGATTTAGGGTTTAGGATTTAAGGTTTAGGGGTTTAGGGTTTAGGATTTGAGGTTTTCGGGTCTAGGATTTAAAATTTAGAGGTTTTCGTGTTTAGGGGCTTTGGTGTTGAGGGTTTGGGGTTTAGGGTTTAGGGTTCAGGATTTAGGGGTTAAGGTTTGGGGTTTAGGATTTAAGGGTTTAGAGTTTAAGGGGGTTTAGGATATAGGGGCAGATGTGGCGTTTAGGGGTTTAGGGCGGGAAGGGCTTTCGGGTTCACGGCCTTTAGCAGATTGGTCTCTTTATTTGAGGTTTCTTCTTTAAGGGGCCGGATATAGGGATCTTCATTAAGGCTAGATTATCAGGCAGTACTAAGCGCAGATAAAGAGACCACCAGCCTGTTTAAAGTTTGGGCTTGGGGCTGCTAAGGGCTTTCGGGCCGTAGGGCTTTAGGATGTTAGGACGGTTTAGGGTTTAGGGTTTAGGGTTTAGGATTTAGGATTATAGGGCTTTCGGCTTTAAGGACTTTAGGATTTGGGGGCATAGGGCTCCAGGGTTTTAGTATGTTAGGGCTTTGGGCTTGAGTTTCAGGTTTGGGGTAATTGGGGCGGTTTGACTTTGTTGGCTTTTGGTGTTTGTTAGGTGCTTGTTCGTGACTCGTGTTGTTGTGCTATTTGCGATTCAGGGTTTGGTATTGGCCCTTAGTACTTTGGTGTAGGCGTTCAGGCGTTCAAGCCCCAGACGCCCCCAAATCCCTGACATCAGAAAATTCTTAGGAGTTGAGTTTGTTTATGAACTTCGCTCAGTGGTTGCCTGTGTACGGATACACCTTTTGAACAGGATTGCTGGAGCACGTTTTGGGTGGGGTCAGGATTCCAGCAAAGTTTTCAGGGATAAGGGTTACTGCTTGGCGATGGCGACTTTGACATCAAAGAGCCCTCAAGGCCCTATAAACCCAAAAAAGGCTCAGTGTGGTCGGCTCCATTCCAGACGTTTTGTCTTGGCGCTCCAGATTCATTGATAAAATTATCAATGAAATACAGATTCATTAGGGTTCCGCACCATTACAAGAATATGCGCCAACATCCTGCTCTAGCCGTTTACCTACACACACTCACTTAGAAGGCATCTATACCAAAACCCTACAACACCTTCTAGCAGCCTGTAAAACCCCCCTAAACCCTAAACCTTAAACCCTAAACCCTAAACCCTAAGCCCTACCCTTTTCTAACGCTGCACAGCCCGGCCAAGGAAGGGCATGTCCAACTCCAGCTTCAGCGGCCAGGATGTTGAGTAGTATCCTAAGGTTTGTTTAGGGTTTAGGGTTTAGGGTTTATGTTCAGTAGTATCCTAACCCTAACCCTCCGGGTACCTTTTTAGGGGCTCTAGTACCCTATATTGTAGGTACCCGGGGGGGTTAGGGTAAGGTTTGTAGTTTAGGCGTATTATGCTTTTTCGGTTTTTGTTGCTGGATGAAGGCATAAAAAGTAATCCCAGCACGTATGTTTTTCTGGTACCTAGTATAATACGAGGAATCCCGAAACGTACATGTTTTTCCAGTGCGTTACTGAACAGCCTAGGCAACCAAGTTTCGCGTACAGCAATCGGCACGCCAGGATACTTGGCCAAGGGCAGAGGGTTTTCTGGTGTTACAGTTTAAACCCAAAGGGTCCAAGCACCAGCATAGTATATACTTTTGGTGCCTAAATACCTACTAAGTACCTACTATAATGGTCCTTGGACCCTTTGGGAAAGTTGCAGGGTGCTTTAGGTCTCGGTTTTAGGTTTTAGAGTTTTGGGGCTTGGGGCTTCAGAACTTCTGGGTTTCATACCCTAAGGGTCCAAGTACCCATTATTTAGGGACTTTAGGGCCGTTGTGGGTACCTAAAACCATAAATAAAGACTATTTGGACCCTTAGGGATAGAAGCTACAGGAAGCATGAACTGGACAGCCCCGTCGGCCGCTTAGTGCTGTTGATGCGGGTGTTGGTTCAGGGTTCATCGTGCATAAAGCGAGAGTCTCGGAAATTGAGAGGCATTCATACAGGATGTAACAACCCATAGGCCCCATCGTAGTGCCTTTTTGTGGCTTATATTTAGGATCCCCCTAGGTAATCCCCAAAAGGAACTAATATGGGGCCTATGGGTAGCTGGATCTGTATCCAAAACAGACCTCCGAAATTACGCGCGAATCCCTGTCAGAACTGCCGTGTCAGAGCACCAGAGATGAGCTACACGGGAGCTGCCAAAACACTACCCGAAATCCGGATTCCATCCTCTAAGACAGAAGCCCTTAAGGGTTTTAAGGTCCAAAGTATGTAGCAAACCTAATCTTTGCAGTTAGCTCTTCGGGTTTAGGATATTGGTAGGTTGGAAATTCAGATGCTTGAACCTGCAGAACTCATCCCTGAACATCAAAGCCTTAGCCCTGCAAGTATGCTAGAAACACGTCCCTGCGAACATCAGCCCCAACCCCTCACTCTCCCTCCCAAGGATTCAAAACAACCCCCCGAACCCTGAACCCTAAACCCCTAAACCCCTAAACCCCTAAACCCCAAGCTTAAAACCCCCAAAGTCGGCAATCCTCAGCATCTCAGGATATGCGCCACCGGAGCACTGCATGCACGCAAGCCCCGACAAGAAGCCTCAGAGTCCATCCGGTTCCTTTGTTCTTCCCCCCGCATCCCAGATGCACATCAGACGGGTTTTGGACTTAGGAACTGGGCTCCAGGGCATTGTGGAGGTTTTGAGGTTCATTACGGCTTTCTTAGGGGGGTTTTTCATTCGGACGGAGTTACGCCTTTGCCCTTTGCGGTTTAGTATTTTGTGTGGCGTTGGGCTTCGGGTTTAGAGAACCCCCCCCCAGTTGTCTTGTCTAGCGTGTTACTCTTCCGTGAACCTCATGCATTGAGGGGGGTGCAACGATGTGTCTCTAGGTTCCTGAGTGGTACCCTTTCCGACTAGTATGAAAAAGGGTGCCCTTAGTGCCCTTATACCCTAAAACCCTAAAGCCCTAAACCCTAAACAGCCAAAACCCTAAACCCTAAACCGTTAAGGGGCTACTGCAGAACCATATAGACCTTGTTTTGCACGGTCGGCTGACGAGCAGAACCATTTCCCGACCCTGACTGACTAGGGTCTGTGGGGTTTAGGGTTTAGTTTAGGGTTTGGGGTTTAGGGTTTGGGGTTTGGGGTTTATGGTTAAGGGTTAGGGTTTAGGGTATGGGGTTCAGCGTTTAGTGTTTAGGGTTTAGGTAGAGTTTCGGAGGTTCAGGGACCCTAAACCCTTAACTTACAGCCCAGCCGGAGCCCCGGCCCAAGCCCACCTACACCCCTACAGCAAAGTGAGGGCCCAAACAATCAAACCCTAGGCCCTAAACCCTTAAACCCCAAACCAAAACCCAAACCCCGAAACCCCGAAACCCCGAAACCCCTAAACCCCTAAACCCCTTAAGCCCTAAACCCCCTTAAACCCCTAAACCCTCAAACCGTCAGGGTGGGGTCTGAATCTAAATGAGAACCCCAACCTGGGACTCTGATTACCTACAGTTTTTTATGAGTTCTACCTACAAGGGGTTTAGGGCTTGTAGGGTTTAGGGTTTAGGGTTTAGGGTTGCCTGGAGCTCAAAAGTATGTAGAAGAATAGCCTTTTATAGGGTCCTGGGCCATGATTTTACATACTTTTTAGGGTTTAGGCAAGGGGTGGGTGGGTAAAGAGAGCTACAGGAAGGGTTTGTTGAAGACGCTTCAAGGTTCCTAGGGTTTAGGGTCCAGGGTTTCGGGGAAAGGTTCTACTTGGAGGTTCATGGGTAGTTAAAACTAGGGGTTATAAGTAGGGTAACTATACTTATAAGCCCTATTTGGGGACTTATTGCCCCCCACTTACAACAACCCTAAAACCTAAACCCTAAACCCTAGACCCTAAACCCTAAACCCTAAACCCGAACCTCCAAGTATGAGGGTTCCGTTAGCCAAGGTTTTATCAAAGTTTGCGTAGAGGACCATGGGTTTGGAAAGCTCCATGCTAGAATTCTACTGACCGCCAGGGCATTGGTTTAGGGTTCAGGGCTTAGGTTTTAGGGTTTAGGGTTTAGGGTTTAGGGTTTAGGGTTTAGGGTTTAGGGTTTAGGGTTTGGGGCAAACCATGAGTAGTTATTCGGGCCCTCCCATATTCTCACTCGACCCTGAAACCCGAAACCCTGAATCCTTGAAATTCCCCTGAACCAAAAAACACGTAAATCCTAGCACCGCTGAAACTCTGGACCCCTCAATACCACGAACCGTACAAAAACCTGCAGCGCCCCCAGGCCCATCCACAGTCGGATATTTTTTCGGCTGGTATCATTCTTGTGGAGCTGCTGATGGCCGGAGTGGCCGGCGAGGGGCCCCCATGGTTGCTTTCCGGAACTGAGGTAGGCCTCTAGGTGCTTTGAGTATAGGGCTTATAGGGTTTAGGATTCTAGGAGCTTTGAACGTAGGGCCTTTGTAGGGTTTAAGATTGAGGATTCGAGGAGCTTTGAATAGGGTGATGTTGTGGGGTTTGCGGTTTCGGTTTCAGGCTCTGAGGTTTTAGCGGGTCGCTTGCTAAAGATCTAAGCCATGGGGGTTCAGAGGCGGGTGTAAGAAATTGAACCGTGGGACTTGTGTTTTGTGTTGTGGGGCTCAAGCTTTCGGCTTGTGGGTGCAATAGAGGGGCCTTCATAATTACCAATATTATTTTGTTTTTTTTGGGTGTTCCTTATTGTAATTATAGTATAATTATGATGGGCCCAGAACCCTTTTCTAATCATTAAGGCCCCCACATTGCATGCTTTCAGGTTCTGGGGGAACATTCTGGGCTCTGAATCTCAGCCCTAAGCCCTCAAAAGTTTCATGCTGATCTGCAGCTTCAGGGATGCCACCCCGTGCCCAAAGCCATGAACTCGACTTGCTGATGCTGCCAAGTCTTCTGGGTTTAGGGGTTTCCCCAAGACCTACATAAACTCGAGAACCCTAACCTTCATGGAGTTTTCTAAAGCCCGTAAGCTGGGTTTAGGGTTTAGGGTTTAGGAAACTTCACTGCAGTCCTGAAGCCCCTGTAGAACGGTTTGTTGTCCATAAGCTTGAGACCTCACGAGGCCGTAGAGCCTCCGGGCCCCCAAACCCTGCTCTAATGATTAAGGCCTCCCTGTATGAGTTAGGGTTTAGGGTTTAGGGGCCATGTTTAGGGCTGAAGAACCCAAATCTTTAACCCTAAACCCCCTAAATCCTGAACCTCTAACTCTTAAACCCCTAGAACTTGTGAATTGCGGAGTGGGCTTCTTTGAACTTCCGTCCCCCCCTGGGATTTCGACCTTTTTGTGAATTCATGGACCACTGCCACGGAGCACTAAGCCCCCTGAGCCCTAACACTCTATAGACCCTGAGATTTCGGCTTCCAGAAATCATCCCCTAAAGGATCCTTTAGGTTGACCTTCAACCCTCGTTTAGGGTTTAGGGTTTAGGGTTTAGGGTTTAGGGTTTAGGGTTTAGGGCTCGAATCCCAAAATTAGGTTTCCCCAGGATGACCTCAGCCAGCCCAACCCCCAGCTCAGCCCAGCTCCCAGCCCCCATCCCCCGCCCCTCCAATTCCGGTTTAGGGTTTAGGGTTTAGGGTTTAGGGTTTAGGGTTTAGGGTTTAGGGTTTAGGGTTTCTAAAAAGCTCAAAACGGTTCGCTCAAAACTCATTGGCACCCAAACCCTTAACAATTTCTACAAAGCCCTAAAACCCTACAACCCTAAAACCTAAAAGCCCAAAACCCTAAAACCATAAACCCAAAAATCCTAAAGCTTCCCTGCAAAAAGAACCTAAAACTCCAAAACCCTAAAACCCCCCAAAACCCTACAAACCTCAGAAGCCGCAAATCCCTAGGACCACTGCCATGGAGCGCATCTCCATCCTTGGAGCCCTTCGTGACGGCCGCGACTCCGCGTTGCCCGCCACGCTGCTTCGTGACCGAGGCGTCCTTGGGTTCAGGGGTTTGGGGTCTATAGGGGTTCAGGGCCTGGGGTTTAGGGTTTAGGGTCTAGGGGTTAATGGCCTTGGGTTTTGGGGGTTTGGGGTTTAGGGTTTAGGGTTCAGGGTTTGCGTTTCAAAGGGACTCCAGGGTTTTGGGGTTTTGGGGTTTCGAGGTTTGGGGGTTTAGGGGTTTAGGGGTTAGGTGTTTAGGGATTTAGGGTTTGGGGGTTTAGGGATTAGAGTTAAGGGGTTATAGAGGTTCGTGGTCTAGGGTTTAGCAGGAGGCTGGAGGGCTGCCAAAGTGTTCTATGCGAGGGTCGTCCCCTAAGCAGGCGTTTTACTGTTGATGGACACTAAATTCTGCATGACCCAAATATAGTATAGTACCATAAATCCCATAGTGAACCTCAAATACAGGGGCCTTCATAGTTAGAATTTGGGTTTTGGGGCTCCTTTTGAGGGTTCCTTAAAGGGTTATAAAAGGGATAGGGGATTTCATAGGTAGAATAGGGTTTTGGGGCTATTTGCTATAATCTTAATGAAAGAAGAACCCTGAACAAAGTACTGGTAATTATGTAGGGCCCTACATGAAGCCTTAAACCTCTCAGCCCTAAACTCTTATATCTAAACCCCCGAAAACCGCTGCACAGGTGTTGGCGCATGGCTGCGCCAACTCGTCTTCCGCATGGCAATTTGGATCTGCAGGAAAGGAAGGTACCGGTGCCTTTTTTCAGGGCTCTCGCTGTATGAAGTATCTCACTATGAAGGATCCCACTACTTAGGGTCTTCTCGCTGTGAGAAGGATCTCACTATGAAGGATCCCACTACTTAGGGTCTGGATGAGGGGATTTAAGTTGTCCGAGGCCTTCAGGAGCCAGGCTTGCGGTCTTCAGAGCTTATTTTCTTGGACGTGAACTGTGCATGAACGAATGCATGCATGCATGTATGTCTGTGCCTGCATACATGTATGCGTGTATGCATGAAATGTCTGTGTGTATATATACATAGAGAGAGAGATTTATACAGGTGTACGCATGTATGCATGTACCCGAGTGTGCCTGTAGGTCCGCATCTCTGTATTAATGAACGAATGAATGAATGAATGAATGAATGAATGAATGAATGAATGAACGTATGTATGTAGGTAGGTATGCGTGTATGTGGGTTTGTGAGAATGGATGAATGGAAGGATGGATTTTTGGACGGGCGGACAGACGGTAAAACAGATGGGGGCACCCAACGAGCTACTGCATGCATGGAAACATGCAAGTATCAAACATATCGGAGGGTCATGTAACGGACGAAGACATACATGCATGCACACAGCAAGCAGATGCGGGGGTGGGGGGCATGTAACGGACAACGACGAACATGCATGCATGCCTCATACATGAGCGCATGCATGCATGGAAATATATCTAAACATACATGGCCACCACAGAGAAGGAGAGAAAGAGAGAGAGAAAGAGAGAGACCGACACACACACACAGAGACACGTACAGAGACACACGGAGACACAGAGAGGCAGAGAGACAGGTAGACAGAAGGACAGACAGAGACAGAGACAACAACAGAGACAGATGGCCAGATGGACAGCCAAGCAGACAGACAGACGGACAGAGGCAGCCAGAGAGAATCAGAGAAAACACAAAGAGATCGAGAGAAAAACAGACGGAACGAGAGAGTGAGATTAAAAGCGGGCGCGAGACGTACAGTCACAGTCAGAGTCAGAGTGCGAGAGAGATAGAGAGAAAGCGAGAGGGAACATGGCCGCCAGTTGTGAGATCAAGATGCCTCAGCTGATGATCCTACTCGTAAACCCTAAACCCTAAACCCTATAAACCCTAAACCCTAAACCCAGGTAAACTGGAGTGTTGATGGGCGTCCGACCGCCCAAGAGGTACTGGACGAGCATCTTGGGCCAGAAAAAGCTTCAGAACCTCGTAACCCTGCATATAGGGTTTAGGGTTTAGGGCTTTTAGGGTTTAGGGTTTTTGTTTTAAGGCTTCTAGGGTTTAGGGTTTGGGGTTTAGGGTTTAGGGTTTAGGGCTTCTAGGGTTTAGGGTTTGGGGTTTAGGGTTTGAGGTTTAGGGTGGCTTCCATGGGTTTTAGGGCCTTCTTGTTTGTGGAGGGTTTTGGCGGGTCGGTCTTCCGGGCTCTGATTCGGGGTTCTTGTGGGTTTAGGGTTTAGGATTTAGGGTTTAGGATTTAGGGTTTAGGATTTAGGGTTTAGGGTTTAGGGTTCTTGTGAACAGGTTCAGGAGCCTTGCAGTCTTGCCAGGAATTTCACATCTTCGTGCCTTCCCTCCGAGTCCAGCGCGTTTGGCAATTGTTGAAGCCGCATATAGGTAAACCCTTCAACCCTATAATATAAACCCTAAGCCAAAACCCAAACCCTAAACCCCAGCCTAAACACTCGCTCCCTGCGGCGTTTCTCTGTTTTCTGATCTCACAGGGCTTGTGATTCTAGGGGATCTTGACCGGTGCTACAAGTTCCACCCGTCGTCCCCTGGAATGGCGGTTTAGGGTTTTGGGCTGAACTCCCCGGAACCCTACACCACCATGCTTTCCTTGCAGACATTCTGCAGATTCCCTGAGAGCCCGAAATCGGATCCCGGAAGTGTCGTACTACAGAAATACCTGAACCCTTACTGCCCTTATTGCACTTAGGGGTCATTTGGGCCGGCGGTCCCTTCTCTTAGGGATTTCATATCATGTCCAAGGGCCTATACGACGGTTTGCTTTTTGCCAATACTGACAGCCACCTGAACCCGAAAGTCGTTCAACCCTAAACCCTAAATCTTAAACTCGGTCAACCCTAAGCCCAGCCCCTTGAGACCATGCAGAACCCTAAACCGCACCCCTAAACCCTAAACCCTAGAAGGGTAGAGACCTGGCAGAACCCTTTATCAGTCCAAGCTGAGGCTTATTTTGCCCAAGACACCCAGTACTAAGGACCATAAGGGCTAAACCCTAAACCCTAAACCCTAAACCCTAAACCCTAACCCTAAACCCTAACCCTAAACCCTAAACCCTAAACCCTAATAAGTTCATGGGGCCTCTGGGGGGGTTCGGGTATGAAGCCGAGGATTGAAGCTGCGCAATGGGCATCTTCTCGTCATAACCCATACCTCGGAACGCAACACTCGCGATCTCCACAGCAACTTCGGCCTAGATGGGGGTTTAGGGTTTAGGGTTAATAAGGGTTTAGGAGTCGGTCCTAAACTGTTGGAGGTTTCAGGTTTTTACGAGGGTTTTGAGGGGAATTCAAGAGGGCTGTACGGTCTTTCAAGAGCTTCAGTGATGTTTTGAGAGTTTGTTTTAGGTGTCTAGGGGCGTGGCGACGGTCGCAGCAAGTCAAGACTCAGAGTGCAATTTCAAGCATTGCAGGCTTTGGGGTCTAAAGTCCACGAAGACTACCCTGAGGGCCCATGTACTCAAATCGTATATAGTATAGACTCGTATATAGACATTGGCCTTAATGTAGTTCCTATTTACGTACTTTAGGGTCTAAGTATATGCTTATATGGGAACATGGACCCTTAGGGATACTTTCCTGCACCCCAACCCCACAGCCTCATCCTGGAGTATTTATGTAGAGCCATAGGGGTTGAATGTGCAACGTTCGCTTTTTCTGTTGGAGACAAAGCTTGATGGTGGTGCTTCAGCTGCTGACGGTGTGGGAAAGTCTTACTCTGGCATACACCCTAAACCCTAAGCCCTAAACAAGGTCTTTTGGAGAGTTTTTGGGTGCAGGTTATCGATCATGAAGTTCTATGATGTAGACCCTCGGTCAAGGATCACCCTTTCTTTACTACTTGGGCTGCCCACCCACAGTCTCCATTGTTATTCCTTTTTTGGTTTAACCAGTCTTATAGTTAGGACCCAACAGATTGCCCCAAAAAGGAATTACAATGGAGAGTGTATTATCATTATTGGCAGCGAGGGACGGAGGGGGCTGATCAGTGATACTGTATCCCCAAAAGGAACCCCAATCTAAAGAACTACGTACCCATATACATTATAGGAGGCATTCTTGAAAGCTCGGGCTCCTTTCTTCGGGACATATGAGCTGCAAAGAAGGGTACGCGGTCTAGAGGTCTGGGTGTGCTAGTAGCTCGACACTTAAACCCTAAACCCTGAACCCTATTGAAGCCCAGAGTCAACGGTTTGAGGGCTTCGGCATCTGAAGCTTTGACATTTCCGCGGGCTCGCAACCACGGCTGCAGGCCAATCTTGGGGTCCTTAGTCGCTAAATCCTTGCCCATAAACCTGACAGTAACCCTCAAGCCCCAATACTTTCGAAGCCTAAAGAATTACCAATACGGCCTAAGCCCTAAAACCCTAAACCCTAAACCCTAAAACCCTAAACCCTAAACCGTTCAGTGATTCAAGGTTCCCGAATTTCTTTATAGTATCAGATACGCCGAGACCTTGTTCAAATTATTCACAGCCCCTACATCCTAAACCCCTCAATCCCTAAAACCTGAAGCCCCGGTACCTGAAGCCGCAGTAGGGTTTAGGGTTTGGGGTTTTGGTTTGCCCAGGTTCGCGGCCATGCTAACGCACATCTCGGCGGCGCACAATCCTTACATTGGTTTCTTTCTCGACCACCGCCGTGCTGTAAAGGCTTGAAGCAGCCATTCTCCCAGAGGCCCTTGTTTAGGGGTTGCGGTTTTTAGGCCTAACTAATATAGAAGCCTAAAGACTTACCAATATTATTCTTTATGGTTTCTTATTTTAATTATAGTATAATATACCCCATGCGAACAGACTTCGATGCCTCTTATAATTCTGAGGTACTGCTTTGTGAGCTCTGAGACATGTATCATAAACAGGACGGAACAGGGCT